GGCTCTGCTGACATTGGCAGTAAGCTTTACACTGGTAAATTTCGATACCCACCCCTGGACTGCAGCAAGACACTTGCGTCAGATTTTAATTATGCTGTCCAAGAGTAGGTTTGCAGTAAGCTTGTTGGGTCGAAGTCCCTGAGAGGGCTCCTCTCTGCCTTGGAGAACAGCAAAGAAGATTGACTATCCCAGACTGAGCTTTTACCATCGTAGAGCTGCATTTGCTGATGAAGTCACAGATAGCAGAATTTTCTATCCCATGTGGTTCTTAAATCAAACCAGTAATCCTAGGTGGTGAAGAGCAAGGCAAAGGAGTGGAACTTCCTTTATATGCTATCTAATCTGCTTTAGACTTTGGGCTCATAATGTGTTTAGTCCAGCAGCAGGTCTGATGCTAAGGTTAGTTAGCACAACTAAGAGTAGAAACCTTATGGAGGAGAAACTGAGCAGCTTCATATCTAGTACAGCTGTGTGCAAATGGTCTCTCAAAGCTCCACACCCTTTTCATTAACAAAAGGGAGCAGACGTTCTGCTACAGCTTCTTTGGGATGAGGTTCATCTTGGCAGTGGAAAGAGCACAGCTTCTTTTGCTGTCATGTTTTCAGCAGCAGCCGGATCACCCATTTGCATTCCACACCTGGTGTGGTTCTAGGGCATTATGAATGCGGGGATGGAAATGTCACCACTACACACAAAAAGTGAAGGACAGCCAGAGAAAAATCTAGGAAGTGGCCTTCCTTTTGTGGTGGGGGGGGGGAGAGAAAAAGAAATGTCAGAAAAGTGCCTTCTCAGAGATGACAGCTCTATTCATATAGCAAGTGAGCTCCCAAACCTTTAATGATTACGCAGTACGGGGAGGGTAGCTTGTGGCACTCCAGATATTTTGGCGTACAACTCCTATCAGAGTTCCTCACCATTGGCTATATTGGTTAGGGCTGATGGGAGTTGTACAGCAAAACTTCTGAAGTGAGGGCCAATAGTTATCCTCCCCATGTGATAGAGAAGATGGAGACTGCCAGATACTGTTGTTTTGACAAGAAACTAATTAAGGGTACAAGTCTATGTAGACATAAATGAGATCCTACAAATCCCAGCATTCCCTTGCTTTCAGAGAGGGCTGGAGAATGCTGGGAATCATGGGACTTTTTGTGGTCTAACAATGCATAGGGTTGCACCTTAAGTTAGGCTAAGAGAGTACAACTGGCCCTGGGGAGCTGAAGGAGGTTCATGATGAAGTGCGCATTTGAACTCTGATCTCCTCTGACAGGCTACAGAATTTGTTTATATACAAGCTGGCAAGATGATGATGAAGAAGAAGAACCTGTTCTCCAAACAATAAATGAAAAGCTCAGCTAGCGGTGAAGCACTTGAGATATTTCAGGAAAATCCCAAAGTCTTAAAAGGAAATCAGTTTTGTCACTACTATCTCCAACTTAACTACATTTATGTGGTAATAAGACCCAATTATTTCAGTGAAATTTCCAGGTAAACATGCATAGGCTTGTAGCCTAAGAAGCATTTCCTAATGTCTTTCTGGACACTTTTTGAGAAGTCGGCTGGTCATTCTGATACACCTGACAGCTGAGCTTTTGCTAATGCTCACAATTTGGAAGGCGATCCTGACAAAGAAAGCCGCAGGTAACGCTAAAAGAAGGGCTGCAGTGCTGCCACTAATTAGTTCTCCCCATATCTAGCTATCCTGCACTGTGAACTGATGTTAAATCCCTACCAAGCAAATACAATTACCCCATACATTTCAGTTATTTTCTGTCCTAGATAACATCCTTTTAAACACCTTAGCCAAGTCCTTGCAGGCAGAAAGGAGACAGAAGCAAGAAAAGTGAGGAAGTTAAGAACTTTAGCCATTGTGCCAGGGGACAAAAGAAATGTGAGTCCCCATGTGTTTGTGGGATTTGTTTATTTATTTATTTAAAACTTTTATATGCCATCCCTTATCCATGGCATCTTGGCTCACAATCAATAAAATCAAATACATTAAAAACAATCTAACAATAAATACCATATAACCAGCAGAGTTTCTGTTTTAACACTCAATGCAGTATAACTAGATGGTTTCAAAAATAAATAAATATATAGAATGAAAAATACCCATACATCAGGCAGATATTCAACTGGTGCAGGTGGCAACAATGCAACAAAAACTGCTGAATTTTATCTCTGGCTGCTAAAGGCACAAGATCCCGGGGCGGGGGGGGGGGGGGGGAAGAAGGCGCTTTCTTGCTAATCCAAAATGTTACCACTATCCAAACAAAGTCCACATATAGAGTTTTAGTCTTTCAAGACTGTTTTTCCAGCTCTCTGTTTCCTTTTCTCCTTCAATGGATACTTTATTATCAACATAAATGTTTTAGTCATTGAAGCATCTGAGTACAATTGAACAATGAAGGTAAATACAGAATTATGTGAAACCTGTAATAAGGAGCATTTTGAAGCTATTCACTGGGCATATCAGATGATTCATCCAAGAGATTGCATTTCTCATAACAATCCTACCGAATTTCCCAAGTACATATTCATATGTTATATAAAAGAATCCTCATTGAAATATGTAATTAGTAAATAGCCTGGTTAAATGACTCATACTTCAGCTATTGATTAAACCATTTTTGTTCAGACAAGATCCTGGAATGGGATGTAACAATTGGCATGTTTACAAAAAAATTATCACTGCAATGTATTTTGAAATATCTATAGGAAGCAACCCCAGTTAACCTTTCAAATTATCCTGACCTTCCTTGTGACACCATCTTAATAGAATTCCCACAGAACCTATTTTCTATTGGTTCAAGTGGTTTGAGGCAATGAAACCAGCCTTAAGCAAGCTGGCAAGGGGATGCTGGGAACTGTAATCCAACATATATGGAGGGCACTAGATTGAAGAAGGCTAGCTTGGATTGTATTTGTTTTCTTCAGAGTAAAATAATAGCTGGCTAAACACCAGACATAAATTGCACTCTCATATGACTAAGCATCTCTTCAAAAAATATCTTCCCTCCTTTTCTTACATATTTTATATTACCTAATAAAAACTAAGTAATACTTTTGAGCACAATGAAGCAAGTTGTTTGTTTGCTTGTAACAGGGTAACGGCTAGGCTGGATCAGACCATTGGTCCTTCCCATCCAGCATTCCCTTCATACCGAGGCAGACAGCCTCTGGTAACAGAGGGGGCACAGAACCAGAGAGACTAGTAGCCACTGATAGCTTTCTCCACTATGGATTTGTCCAATCCCCTTTTAAAGCCACCCAAACTGGTGTCATTACTGCTCCCCGTGCCAGTAAATCCTACAGTTAAGGATGTTCTGGTTGAAGAAGTCTTTCCATTTATCTGTCCTGAATGTCCCACCAAACAACCTCATCGGATGAGCCCGTTGGGTATTATGGAAGAGGGGGAAAAGTGCCTCCCTCGCCACTTTCTCTACACCATGCACCAAGAGTTAAAAAAGCTCTTCCCGTTACTCACCCTTCTTCTAAGCCAAACACTCCCAGTTGCTCCTCATAGGGGGTTGCTCCAGCCCCTTCATCATTTAGTTGCCTTTCTCTGCACTTTCTCCAACCCAATGAGTGCAGTCATACCAATGATTTGTACAAGGGGAGCACAGTCTTGGCAGTTTTATTTTCAATTCCCTTCCCAATTATGCCTAACATGGAGTTTGCCTTGTCACAGCAGTGGCACACTGGGTTGATATGTTCATCAAGCTGTCCACCACAACCTAAAGTCCCTTCCTTAATCAGATCACATCACCCTATACTTGGGGGGGGGGGGGAATGGTCCCAACAGACATTGCTTTACACTTGCTTACACTGAACTGCACTTGCGATACTGATGCCCATTCCATGGAGAAATGCCCATGGCACGCCTTACAATCCCTTTTGATTTAAACTACCCTAAATAGTTTGGGGGACATCAGCAAACTTGGCCACTTCACTGCTTACTCCTAATTCCAGATCATTTATGAACAGGCTGAAAAATACTGCTCCTAATACAGAACCTTCTGGGACCCTACTGTTTACATCCATTCACTGGCAGAAATTGCCATTTATTTTACAACTTAAGTATTCAGATATTTTAATCATCTTTCTTTTTTTATTGTTATATGGCAAATCTCTTTTGTTAGGCAACCCTAAGCAGACAAGGAAGCTGAGGCTGCAGTACACTTACATGGGACAGTGAGAGATGACACAAACTGCTGATCACAATGTAAGCATTTACAGTATGTCCATTTGGTTGCCCATTTTCATTCAGCTCCTCTTTATTGTTTTCAGTTCTGAGAACTGTGAGCTGACTGGTTAGTTGCATCCCTCGAAGCACTTCTACTTTCCAAATCAAATTCCTCCCATGCTCATTTACCTGGAAAACATTTCTATTATTTTCTTATGGCGAGTTGAGGCAGACATCAACCGTCAGCCAGCAATGTCCAAACGCGGGCGGGATGTATGTGGCTCCTTCCCCTTCAATCTGCTGCAATCTGCATTAGAGGCCCGCTTGCAATTTGGCACCACAAGCAGGCAGGTAGACGAAAGCAGAATCCCCGAACGGGAGAAGTCAGCACGGCGCTTGACAGAAGCGCTAGCTTGGCACCGCTAGCGGCTGCCATGTCCTCTAGACAAGGGGCGTCCTGTTATCCTGCGTCTACTGGGAAGAGTCACCCTCCCGTGGGTTCTGTTGCGGGCCCGGCCGCTTGAGCGAGGCAGGCGCTGGAAAGCGGCAGGGGACTCTCATGGCCGGGAGGCGCGGGCCTTGGCTACCCGGGGGGAGCCCTTGTGACGCAGGAGCTCGTGCGGCAGGCTGTCAAGCAGCGCGGACTCGCCGGGGCTCCGCCTGGGCCATGCGCACGGGTGCCTCTTACCACCAGGCGCTGCATGACTGTGGCTGTCCGCCTTGGGAGGCAGCGTGCCTGCCCGCCCCCTTCTCTCGCTTCCCACGGCTGCCGAGGATCGGCAGGGCCTCCCCTCCGGGGCGCGAGGCGCAGACAGCCATGGCCAAGCAATTCGGGGCTATCCAGGTGGGCACCTATTTGGAGATCAAGAGGAGCGACGGGCGGATCCACCCGGCCCTGGTCACGGCCCTGCACGAGGACGCCAGCAGCGTGACCGTGGAATGGATCGAGAAGGGCACGAACAAGGGCAAGAAGGTGGAGCTGAGCCTCGCCTTCTCGCTCAATCCTCACCTGGCGCCGATGGGGCTCAGCCCGGAGACGCTCTTGGCGCCGACGCCGTCTGATCAGGGGGATCACTCCACGCCACCCCCCAACTATGTGGTGACCCCCATCACGAAGGAGAAGCCAGGGGGGGACAGCGCCGAGCCACAGATCAAGAGGCCTCCGTCGGTGGGGACAGCGGGGAGGGGCAGCACCGGCCCGGCGCGCAAATCGCCCTGCGTGCTGGAGGTGGAGCGGCTGCGCGAGCGGCGGGAGAAGCGCCGCCTCGAGCTGCTGGAGCGGAGAGCGCGGCGCGAGGCCAGCGACGCGCACCCGCACGCGGACGCGATCGCCATGATCGAGCAGTGCCGCGAGGCTCTGCAGCGGGGCGGCTCCGCCCTGCTGGCCCAGACCTGCCCCCTGGAGCCCAGCCGCGGCGGCGTGCGCAAGATCTGCGTGTGCGTCCGCAAAAGGCCGCTCAACCAGCGCGAGGCGGAGCTCAAGGACTTCGACGTGGTCACCATCCCTTGTTCGGGCGTGGTGGTGGTGCACGAAGCCAAGCAGAAGCTGGACCTGACGCGCTACCTGGAGAACCAGACCTTCCGCTTCGACCACGCCTTCGACGCCAACGCCACCAACGAGAGTGTCTACAAGCACACGGCCCAGCCTCTGGTGGAGACCGTCTTCCGCGGAGGCATGGCCACGTGTTTTGCTTACGGGCAAACCGGCAGCGGCAAGACGCACACAATGGGGGGCGATTTTTCTGGCAAGAAGCAGGACTCCTTCAAGGGCATCTATGCTATGGCTGCCCGGGATATCTTTTGCTTGCTGCAGGATCCAACCTACAAAGTGCTGGAGCTCCAGGTCTATGGGGCTTTTTTTGAGATCTACTGGGGAAAGGTCTATGACCTGCTAAACTGGAAGACCCGGCTACGCGTGCTGGAGGATAGCAATCAGCAGGTTCAGGTGGTCGGGCTGCTGGAGCAGGAGGTTATCTGTGTGGAAGATGTCATGAAGCTCATTGAAATTGGCAATCGGTGCCGAACATCAGGGCAGACCTCGGCCAACTCCCATTCCTCACGCAGCCATGCCGTCTTCCAGATCATTCTTAAGAGAAGAGGCAGGCTGCACGGCAAGTTTTCCTTGATCGATCTGGCTGGCAATGAGCGGGGAGCTGACACCTCCAGCGCAGACAGGCAGACCAGGCTGGAGGGGGCGGAGATCAACAAGAGCCTCCTTGCACTGAAGGAATGCATCCGGGCCTTAGGACGCCAGAAGGGCCATACACCCTTCCGAGCCAGTAAGCTTACTCAGGTACTGAGGGATTCTTTCATAGGAGAAAACTCCTGCACCTGCATGATTGCCACCATCTCCCCAGGAATGAGGTCATGTGAGCACACCCTCAACACACTGAGGTATGCCAATCGAGTGAAAGAGCTGGCAGTGGACCCCATGGCCTTCAAACAGTTCCAGCCAGTCTTGCCCAGATCTGTCTTCCAGTGGGATGAGTTAACCAGGCCATGGACCATTCAAAGCTTGCCTGAGACCGATGAGTTCAAAGTGCTGTGTGTACAGAAAGAGGATCAACTCTCCCCACCAGTTCTCGCATGCATAGCCAGAGGGAAAGGTCAGAAAAAGAGGAAAGAGATGGATGAAAAGGCTCTGGTAGAAGAGCACCAAGAGTCTCTTAGATGGTTGAAGGCTTTCCTGAAAATGGCCGATGAGGTTGACTACGACATGGAGTTTTATGCCTCACAGTTTGAAGCTGTCCTGGCCCAAAAGATTGCCATTCTGTCAGAGATCCAGGGTAAAGTGAAATCTTTCCGTTCAGCCCTCTGTAAGGAAGATTTGGGCAGCAGTCCCATAATGGTGAAGAGATCACGGATTCTGTGACTTCTGACAACAGGAAACTTCCCGCTTGCTCTGCCAGGATATGCCAGCTTTACTGCACCCATCTGACTGTGTAATAACTCAAGAAAAAAACGCTTAAAATCCTACACCTGTGTGGGTGACCCGTTTGTTAGGGGCAGGGGGAGTCACCCCCCTCGTTTTCATTCTGTGCACCTGAAACTAGCATGAAACGTCTTCTGGGAGAATCTCCAGATGTTTCCTTTAACATCCTATCATAACATTCTGTCAGGTTGCGAACACAATCCCTGCACATTTGGCACTTTGAGAGGACTTTTCTTTTATTAATTTATTTTAAGAAAGGAAGGATTAGAATAAAGAGCACATTTCAGTGAAGAATACCTCAGAGGAATGGGGCGGGGGTTTGTTTTGTGGGTAGCATAAGCATGATTTTGGAAGCATCTGCCGGCTTGCTTTCCACCTACTTCAAACTCATATATCTTTCTCATTGGTGTTCCCAAGCATAATTTGAAAAAATAGCAGTGGTGGAAAATAGGTTCGTTCAGTAGTTAGGTGAAAGAATGAGACAGCTTTCTATGGAAAGGTAGAGTAATTCAAGGAGGTGATACTCTTAATGTATTCATTCATCACATTTTTATCCTGCCTATTCTTTCAAGGAGTACAAAGTGGCATATAGGATCTTCCTCTCCATTTTATACTTACCACAGCCCTATGGGCTGAGAGGCAGTGCCTGGCCCAGAGTCAGCCAGGGAGCTTCATGGCTGAGGGGACTTGAACCTGGATCTTCCCAGTTCCTCTCCAATGCTTTCACCACTGTACCATGTTGTGTCTTTACTATCGTGCTTCAGCTTAAGAGTAGGAAAGATGCTTCATTTCCTGGAGGAATTCCTACCAATGTCCTGTCTGTGAATGATGCACCTGCCCAAGGCTGAACAGGCTCTACAACTGAAGATCACTGAGCCACCCCATCGAGTGCTGCAGCTCAGTGGTAGCAAATCCCTGCGTCTCTGGGCGTGGCTGGAAAAGACCCCTGTTTGAACCCCTGGAATGCTGTTGCCAGTCATTGTAGGCAGTACTCAGACAGAACAGAAGAAGATGCTTTATTAGTTTGTGGTACTTTCTTCTGTGACCTGTCAGGGACTTAAAAGCCTTCTCATTCTTACAAATCTAGGGGACAGGACATTGCCTTATACTATACTATACCTCTATCCTGACTTTTTTCCTTTCAAGGAACTCAAGGCAGCTTACATAATTCTCCCAATCTTATCCTCACAACCCTGTGAGAGTCAGTGACTGAGCCAAGGATACCGAGTTAGTTCCATCACTGAGGGAGGACTAGAACCCAGATCTCCTGAGTCCCAGTCCTGCACTCTTAAGCACCACACCACACTGACTGCATCACCCTCATGAGGAGTACACAAAAATTCACCGAATGAATGTTATTTTCTGCTCGCTTATGAGTATGTTAAAGCAGCTAGTGCAAATTAGAGCTCCTTAATGCAGAGACCAGCTTGGCTCAATTGCCAAAATACACGAGGTAATGAGTAACTGAGAGTAATTCTAATATGCACATAGAATTCATTAACTGGAGACCATCTTTCTTTCTCTCTTCCCATTATAATTTGCATTTTGACACCAGCTGTATCGTCTGTTGTCTTTTATAAAAATACTGCACAAAGTGCAGCGCGTTCACTGTTTGGGATGGCACACATAGAAAACGGTCTTGTTCTTAGTCCCGCCAGCAGTTTTGAGCCTGGACTTATTGGGGGAGGTGTAGTGTGGAGGGAGGCGAGTTAGATGGCTCTGTGTATTACTTCACTGGTGAAGCATGTAACTTTTTAAACCTTCCCCTGTGTACCCGTGCTTTGCAACTATTTCTGCATTCCTGACATGTTAAAGCACAACAAGAACGAGTGACCCAGCTTGCTTTTCTTTTATAAGTAATACTCTGATCATGTGCAGTGTCACATTATAATCATATTTAATTCATGGCACCAAGACGGCTATAAATGGAGTTTGCTTTTGCTGTCCTGATGCTAAGCCTGTGTATTTGGACGATTTTTACATAAAAAAGGACAATGGATTTTAAAGGAGAAAATATGTGTTAAGGGCATATGTTATCCATCTCTATGTCCAGCTGGTTACCCTTGCCCCCTGACCATAAAGTGTGTTTACAAAAGGAAAGAGGGAAGGAACGAAGGAAGGATGGAACTGTACTTGACACCAACCCCATTGGGCCCCCATTGTACCCATCCCAACCTAGTTGTTGACACTGCCCCATCATATGTCACTTTTGGGGCAGTCATTTGGTGAGTCACAGGGTTCTGGACATCAGCCCTGAGATCCAGCCCTGGCTGTACCACTGCATCTGACTTGGCTTGGTCTTCTCCCTGACTATGCATAAACCTAACAAGATACAGGGGTTGGAACCCAATTTCTTGCATATGCAAAGCATGTGCTCTTCCACAGGTACTCAGCCCCATCCCATCCCGTCCACATGGCAGCACTGGATCTCCCATTGTCGATGGTAGCAGAAGAAGGTGTTGGGTGTACTTATGGAGCTCCTTGTGCATGCAGAACTTTAAATTGCAGCTTGGTCTTTTGTAGATCTTTTTTCCCCTACAAACACTCTCCACTTTTTTGCTGGGATAAGTAATAATTTTGAAGAAATTCTCCAGGCTTCAGTGCTTGCTTTACTGTAAGGAGGTGCCTGAGGGCTCTTTATTTTTCCACCTTCTTCTTGTCCACTCCTTGCATCAGCCCCTGCTAGAGCTTCCTGAAAAGTAGCCTAGCTGACTTGACCAGGACTTCCTGTTGCCAACTGAGTGCCTGAAAGCTGAGCAAGGCTTTTTGGGTTTCATTTGTTGTTGTGAAAAGGACTTTCAGACCTCAGCAGGCATCAGAAATAGAAAGCACCAAGGGAGGAGGTCCTAGTTAAGCCTCCCGGGGGGAGGGGGGGTTCCAAGAAAGTAAAGCAGCTGGGGAGGCTCCAGAACAGAATGTGAGAAGATGGGAAGGGAAAGAGTACGCATCACTCAGACATCTCACAGGAAGCCCTCCATCCTGAGAAAGGTCCTCTGAAATATTCACCTCTGAAATATTCACCTCTTCCCATCTTTTTAAGGTATAGTTTCTTTCCTTACCCTTCTCCAACTCCCGAAATGTAAATTGAGAAATTCAGCACAATGCTTTTAAATCCATGTAACCAGGAGTCTTAATTCACAGGCTTAACCTTTGTATGTGAGGTGTTTATTGTGTGCTTGCCACCCCTACTCATGCTTGTTACTGGAGCTTTTTTGTGTGGAATGTCATAACCAAACACTTTCATTGCTGTTTCTAGCCAGAAAATGTTTTTAGAGCAGGGAAAATGTGGCATTTAATTGTGAAAGCAAAGGAAAGCATGATTTCCTTATGCATTTATGCTGTTCTGCTAAACAGTGCCACACAGAAGTTAGGTGTAATTCTTAGATCTTAGTTCTGAGAAAAACCAAAAGTAAACAAAGCAGATCAACAGCTCTGTGCAGAAAAGCTCAGGATTTCATAATTGGAGGTTATTGACTGGGACTGGGCAATGAGAGTCTGGTATTGGCTCACCTGCACAGGTCACCAATTTGTTTCTGGACCAAATTCAACTGCAGGTTTCAACCCAAGAAGTGCTATATGGCTCAGGAGCCCAAGGATCACTTCTCCAAGGTCATCCTCAGAGGCCCGTTGGCTGCCTTCATTGGAAGGTGTTAGTTTGAGGCCTTTTCTGTGATTGTCCCATGATTATGGAACACTATCTCCAAGGTAGCTTGTCTGGCACTGATTCCAGTGTCTTTTTGGTGCCAGGAAAAGATGTATTTATTTTCTTTGGCATTTGGAGATCAGATATGGGCCAATTGTGTGGACCGTTTTTGTGGTATTCATGTAGGCTGCAAGGGGAGGAATGCTGTGTATTTGTGGCTCAACAGCTTTATATTGTGTATTTTTGTTTATAGCATTCCTTTTTTATTTCCGTTATTGTGGTGATTATGGTTTAGATTGATATTGGAAAGGGAGCCAGGGTTCTCTGCCATATTGATCATGGATTTCTTTATGGTTTCTGTAAGTCACTGAGAGCCTGTTTTTTGAGGAAGGAAGCAACATTTTTTATTATAATAATAATTTCAATGTGAAGTCTATAGTCATATCTGTCCATCCATCAGACAATAAGCCAGGTCTCTGTCATTGGATGTAAAGGCACAGTAATATTTCCAAGGGAAAGCACATTACCAATATTCTTATTTATATATATACTCTATTTTCCACCCAACTGACAGATACCCTTGGGCTGGTTTACAGTAACAAGACAACAAAACAGCAACAACCATGACAATAAATACAACAATGGTCCTACGAACACATGGGAAGAGCAATCCTTCAGCCTTCCCCGTGTTAGAATGCTAATGGGGATGATAAGTTTGCACCCTTTTCCATTAAATAGGAGCCTCTTTGCATAAGAGAAAGCCAGCACATAGGGGAGGAGGGTGGGCTAGAGTCCTTCTCCCTGATATTCCCCTGGAAGGAAGCTTATAGTGCCCAAAAGTAAGTCTCCTTATTCCCCAGTAGCATTCTGAAGCAATTCAGTCTCATGAGTTCTGCATGCTTTTTCTGAACTTCTTAGATTAGCAAAAGGTTAATATTCAAACTACTTTTATCTGCTTAGTGTGGATGGGATGAATGACTTGAGATGAATACAGATCTGGGATTGCAATACATAGTAGGTTTCATGTACAGGCTGCACATTTGCTTTTACCTTGAAGTGCATTCCATGTAGGAATTCTGTAATATGCAAAGTGATTACATAGAAACAAATTAGACGTGATGTGGGAGTTGCATATTTCAGGCTCCCTTCCCGAAAAGCCAGGAAGAAAATGAGGGATGGCTCCAAATCAAATTAAAAGTTTAATTCTAAACTTTGATAGTATGACCATTATCACACACACACGAGATATTAGGCTACAAAGGGGATGATTTAATGGCTTTATTTAACTGAATTATAT